GAGTCGCAGCGCCACCATCAACCCCCCCCCCCCCCCCCCCCCCCCCCCCTCCTTCTGCAGGTGGTGTTCCCACTGCAGGGTGCGGAGTCTCAGGTGGAGCACCACTGCAACCGTCAACTTCCCCTAGGGCAGGTAGTTTTCCCACCCCAGGGTGAAGCGATCCTTCTGCAGAGGCGACACAGACTCTGTGGGTGTCACTGACCTTGGAGGTACTGGATCGACTGGTCACTCTGGCAGCGCCATTGTAGTTAACACCTAAAGAGGGAATGACAAGAACACGAAATAGAGCACGGAGCTCAGGAACGGAGTCAAGCTCGACAGAAGAAGGTAGATGAGCTGTCGGATCAGAAAGGAACAGGATCATCCTGCTGATAGCAGGGACCTGGGACTGAAGACTGACAAGGTCTTGCTCAGAAAAGACAGGTTGAACAGACACAAGACCATCGGATGGTCGAGAGGTGGGTGCGTTAGCGGCCAGAGCTCGAGTCACGACACACACACGGGGTGGGTCTGGCAGAGAAGACACCTCGTCAGGGAGCCACAAGGGGTTGAAGGACCATGAGGTACCAACAGCTGCACCTTGTTTGGCAAGAGAGTCTGCAAGGTCGTTCAGTTCCTTATCAGTTCCGTGTGCACGGGAATGTCCTTTGACTTTACGCTAATAGATCTGCATGTCATGTGATGTCGCAAGGGCATCACAAGCCATGAAAAGGTCTTGATGTTTAATGGGCTTCCGGTTAGAGGTTAAGAACCCGTTACTTTTCCAAGAGTGTAGATGACAAATGAAACTGCGAGGCGTGTAGAGTACCTCAATGTTGAAGCTCTTGTTGAGCTAAACGTTAGCAGCTGGGCGTGCTAAGCTAGCGGGACCTGTTAGCTAAACAGGACTTTTCGGTCTAATTCTGTCGTAGAACTGACCAGTCCGAATAACCAAACATTCGTGACGCGTTCGTGTTAATCTTTTGGACAAATTAGCGTGTGCGGTTCGTGACGCAGTGCGCTCATCTGTTTTATTTATTTTTATTTTTATTTTTCTTCCATTTTAAAAGCTTATAAGGACTGTCACAATTGAATGCTAGTCAAGCTACGGGTGATTACCAGCCAATCAATTCCGGTAATTGGGAAGCGAACCTCCGGTGGAGAAATCATTTTATCTCCGTTACACAAGAATAATACACAGTGGGCACGAAACCACTCAGAAAATACATTAAAAACATGTATTTACCTTTAAAATGACAGCAGGAAGAAACCTGTGCTTTTAGTTTTGAAGGTATAAATCCAATGTGGCTTGAGCTGATGTCAGCCTTAAGCCTGGTTTATGCTTCTCCGTCAGCTCCACAAGGGACAGACACGCACGGATTGACGGAAGCATTTTGCTCTCATACTTCTCCGTCTCCTGGAGAGTGTTGCAAAGCAATTGCCCGGCAGGACCACAGAGGGCGTAGCACTGTTCTGTGGTATCCTGTCATGTATCGGTCCAAGATAGTGTGTTTATATTGTGTTTTTTGTGTATATAAGATACTTTTAACATGGTCGTATTTGTCTCTCATTCTCCCACCACTTCATGCGCTCCCCACCTCTAAACCCACGTTTCCTGTCATTTCCGTCCACAAATAAAATGCTTGCTGCGCATCTTTTCACTCCTCCAGTCACGGGAGGATTAAACGTTCATATTTTTAGAGTTTTTTCGCGAGATATTCTTCAAACTTCTCTGTGTCTGCCGCTAGTTAAACTCGGCTCTCTTTGCAATGGCGGCGCTGTAAACAACAGCGGCATCCTGACCAATCACAAGCTTCCGTAATCCGTCTCGTTCGACGGATGTTTAAAAAAGTGGGCTCGACTCCGTACGTACTTGCGTGCCCTACGCAAGGACGGTTAATGGCGTTGCGTGTCTCCGCACTGACGCAGACGGAGAAGCATAAATCAGGCTTTAGGTGAAGAGAGATGAATCAGCGCCTCCTGGCGGGGTGACTAGTGTCACCCCTTCTCAGACTTTCAATGGACTCTAGTGGCTGATAATGATATTGACTCTTTTCAACCAGAAACATCAACTTTTGAGTGTTTAACTGATTAAAATGTCTCAGAATGAGCACAGCCACTGGAGGAGGTGGAGCCTCTTGGACAGGCGGGGCCTCGGGCATAGCCGCTGGAGGAGGCAGAGCCTCTTGGACAAGCGGGGCCTCGGGCACAGCCACTGGAGGAGGCGGAGCCTCTTGGACAGATGGGGCCTCGGGCACAACCACAGGAGGAGGCGAAGCCTCTTGGACAAGCCAGGCCTCTGAAGCCGCTGGAGGAGGCCGAGCCTCTTGGACAGGTGGGGCCTCGGGCACAGCCACAGGAGGAGGCGGAGCCCCTTGGACAGGCGGGGCTTCAGGCACAGCCACAAGAGAAGGCAGAACCTCGGGGCCGAGCTGTAGCGTAGAACCCCATGTACCCTCCTAAGGTAAGCAGGCATCAGGAAGGAGAACTCCAGGCCATGCATGTAGACCTTGAGGCGAGGGTGCAGAACCTGTCAAGACCTGATGCACCAGAAGACTGGAGGTGGCGCCAGGAGGAACTACGGCCCGCTTATAGATCTGACCTGGAGAAGATGCTGGGAATTGTTCCCCGGAGGAAACACAGCCAGCTGGGTGGCAATGAAGAGGGACTTGTCCTGGAGCTCAGCCCAGCTGAACCAACCAACCGGTCTTGGGTCATCAAGCTGGTGCATGAGAGCAGGCTTAAGATGGCAAGGGGTTCTGCAGCAGCATGGTGGTGACAGTGAGAGCTTGAACAGAGCAGATGGAGACGGGTAGGGTTCAGAGGGAGGCTGGAGCTTGGGCTGAGCCTGTGGTTCTGGCTGGAGCCTGGTCTGAGTCTGCAGATCAGGGACCTCTTGGACAGGCTGAACCTCGGGCAGAATGGTTGAGGATCGGTGGAGCTCAGCCTCAGGCTGCAGAGCAGGGGCCTCTTGAGTAGGCGACACGACTTTGGCCTGTGAAGACCGTTGGAGCTCAGGCGGAGTGTTTGAGAATTGTTGGAGCTCGGACTGGGCATCTGGAAGACGTTGGAGATGTTTATGATGTTGTTGTCGTGGTTTTGGATTACAGTCCACCTGAGATGAGGAGGTGGAGCTGTCAGAACCAGTGGTGGCGCTAATAGGATTAGGGGAGAAAGAGAGGTAGCCGGTTCGGACTGTAGGAGGGGCAATCAGAAGGTGGTGACATCTCAGGGAGGATGGAGGAGATGTGACGGAGGTTTTGGTTTGGGCAGTTGGTGGATGGAGCTCGGGCTGAGCTGGCGGTGATGGTGGGAGGAGCTCAGGCTGAGGTTGAAGAGCAGGAGCCTCTTGGAAGGTGGCGCAGCTCTGGCCTCAGAAGACTGTTTGTGATGGTTGTGACGTCGTTGTGGTGTGGAAGTCTTCCAATCCACCAGAAGAGAAGAGGAGGCTTCCAGGACAACTCCAAGCCATGAGCACAGACCATGAGGTGAGGGGGCAGATCCCGTAGCAACCTGACCCACCAGAAGGCTGGAGGTGGCCTCAGGAGGAACTGCACCTCGCCAGCAACGCTGACCTGGAGGGGAAACTTGGACCCTTGGCTGTTGTGACGCGGAGGGTCGGATTACCGGAGATGAAGAGGTGGAGTTGTCGGAACCAGGCGGTAAAGAGGTTGATCAGACTATCAGCAAGGTTGAGATGGAGCCGCTCGAACCAGCGGAGGATGGTGAAAAAGACCAGCCCACCAGAGGTGACGAGGTGGCGCTGTTGGGACCAGAGGGTGATGTGGACTGGCAGCCTACCAGAGATGAGGAGGTTGCGCTACCGGGACCAGATGAAGATGTGGATGTTCGGCCCATCAGAGGTGCAGAGGTGGCGCTGACAGACCCAGGCAGGGATGTAGCAGTCTGTATTGCAGGTGGAGGCAATTTATGGCCAAAAGTCTGTTGCAGGTCCTTAGCAAATGTCCAGAATGAAACAGTTCTTATGGGGTGAGTATCAAAGTAGTCAGCAGCCCAATCAAGGGCCTTTCCACCCAGGCAGAGCACCATATAGGAAACCTTATCAAACTCTGAGGCGGGCAGACAGCAGGCAGTCTCAAATAAAGAGTCTGCAGGTATCTGGATCACCACTGTACCTTTCCGGGTGCCATGGTCTTGATGTAGCTGGAGGGTCTGCTGGGTCCATGTTTGGTTGGTCCATTCTGTCACAATGAGGGAAGGAGGCTTGGATCCAAAATGCAGTAATCCAGAACTACACAGGCAGGAGTGGTTGCAAAAAATAAGAATCCTTTATTTAGGAGGAGTTGCTAAAATCCAAAGGGCTGAAATCTAAGCCTTGAATACAAAACACAGAAAGCCAAAACAAAAGCTCAAACTTAAGAGCAGGAACTTAAACAGCACAGGAAGAAAACGAGACTAACGCTGACAAAACAATGGACCAACAAACACTGAGAGACAAGACAGGGTTTTATACACATGGACTGGGTGATTAGGGATTTGTGCACATGTGAGACTAATAAACCGAGAGGAGGAGCAGAACGGGGCAGGGGAGGAAACCAGACCTAAATGGGGAAGGTAACAAAATGAACTAAAGGGAGATAGAACCTAGATAATCTAAACATACAACTATAGAAAGGTGAACTGATAAACCTGAAACCAGAAACACTCGGGGTTAGATATAGGAACCTAAAGAGACCAGAACCAAAGGAAGAGGGGATATAAAACAGGGGATCTTAATACTGAAAATGGGTAAACTAAATAAGAAGTGAGTGGCCAGGGGGAACACGAGGGAAACCTGGAGGGGTTGGGGACCTGCACTTTTCAAGGGCAAAAAAGCCCATCAGTTTTCTCTGGTTACCATTGAAACAAGACTCAAGATTCACAGAGTTGTTGATTTAACTCCGACTGTTTTTCTTTCTTGATTTCTGTAGATGATTAAAGCTTTTTTTGGGCCTAACATGCTAAACTAAAAGCTGCTATATGGTCACAAGTCATTCTGACTTTTTGCTTCTCCTTGTCAGAGCCTTTGGAGAGCATCCAAACTCGTGAAAACCCAAACCTTGCTAACCTGCAGTCATCTAGCAGAGCTGCAGTCAGCAATGGTTCTGGAAGCTGTAAGGCCGACTCTCCTGAAATCAAAGTACAGAAATGCTTTGTCTGCGTGACGGGAATGACCTGCTCCTCCTGCGTGGCCAACATTGAGCTACACATGCTCAAACACAAGGGTGAGCTGCTTCTGCTGGGAGAAGAGTCTGAAAGTGTTTAAATCAACATGACTGATGGTGTTTCACTCCTGATTTAACTCTCAGGAATCATCTCGGTGCTGGTATCACTGATGGCTGGAAAAGCTGAGGTGAAGTACAACCCAGAGGTCCTGAATGCCACCACCATAACTCAGCTCATCCAGGATTTAGGCTTCGGTGCCAAACTGATAGAAGACAATGCAGTGAGTCACGGTAAACTGGACCTTCACGTATCAGGAATGATGTATGCATCATGTGTGCACAACATTGAGTCCAAACTCACCACAACCAAAGGAATCCTGTCAGCCTCTGTGGCCCTGGCAACCAAAAAAGCCAGCATCCACTTTGATCCAGAGATTGTTGGAGTTCGAGACATCATCAAAATCATTCAGGTAATCACAATTTATACTGCGATTCAAGTTTGTGTCATGATCTGCCCTGGCCTCCCTGACTGTGTCGCTCCTGCCTTAATTAGTCCTATTGTTCTCACCTGCCTCTCGTTAATATGCCCATGTGTTCCTAATTCTCCCTGTGAATTTATACCTCCCGTCTTGTACCTGTCTTTGTTGGATCATTGAATGTGCATGTCTTCGTTTGTCCTGTCGCTCCTGGTTACTATTAAATCCATTTTTATTTTTCATCCGTGCCTGCTCTCCTGCCTCCAGGACCCTCCACCACACATGGCCTGCCATCTCCGCCCTCACCCCATGACAGTTTGAGTTTATTTAGAAACATGATGATTGTTTGTTTTTATTGCAGAGTCTTGGATTTGAAGCTAATCTGGAAAAAGGCGGTTTCAAAAACAACCTTGATCACACAGAAGAAATTCAACAGCAAGTATCTGTTTTCAAATAATACATATTGAAATCAAACTAACTATAAAAACAGGTGGTAAGACACCTGGTAAAGTCCAGAGGTAGACACATGAACAAAAACATTTGTGCAGTTCATTTTCTCAGATTAGTTAGACTGAAGGTGGAGGAGTGGTCATGAGTCCAAATGAAACATAGAGAATGTGCAAAACATACACCCCAGATGGGACTGGAATCCATAATGCTTGGCATAGTAGGTCATTGCCTTATCCATTAGGCTACTAGGCCTACATAGAACCCATAAAGGATTTCTATATGGCCAAAGGTCATGAGATCTCACAAAGAATTGACATAGTAAACAGTACGCAAAACATTTGATTCATGAAACAACGTGAGCCAGAAACATCACTATAACAGGTATAAGCCACCCCAGATGAGACTTGAACCCACAATCCCTGGCTTAGGAGGCCAGTGCCTTATCCATTAGTTCACTGGGGCTACATAATTTAATATCATACACGATCTTTATGTGCCCAAAGGTCATCAACCCACCCTACCTACTGAGCCACTGCTGCCCGTTAATGCAACAACTGCATCCAGAAAACATCACTAAAACCATAATACCTGCCAATATCTGATGTGGGTGTCTTTTGACCATTTGGTCAGAAGACGAGCACAGGCATTCTGAACCACCTGTAAACTGAGATGTCGAGGGGGCGTGCAGAAGTCTTCATAATGTAAACTAGTTTGGATGGCTCAGGTGAAGAAACAGGGACAAAGATGCTTAGGATGAGGGGAAGGGTAGGAGTCGTGAGGCTGAGATAGCGCTGAAGGACAGATGGAAGATCTCACCTTAATGACTTTGTCCACAAAGAAAGACTGGATGTTTTCACCATCTCCATCAGAGTGGATGTAGGCAGTAGGTGAAGCAGGAGAAAATACTGCTGATGGCGTCAAAACACACTTAGTGTAACTACTTGCTCTGGGGCACTGCATTTGAACAACTGATAACCATCTTGCGTGTCCCTGCAGTGTTGAAGGAAGTCAGAAGACTCTAGAGATTTTATAGATGTTTTTGAGAGTGGTTTTGTTGAGCATTATAGCACCCCAGGTGGGACTCGAACCCACAATCCCTGGCTTAGAAGGCCAGTGCCTTATCCATTAGGCCACTGGGGCTACAAACTTTTGTCCATGAAGGATTTCGATATGGCCAAAAGTCATCATATCTATCAATGAGGTGACGTGATAAAAAGTACGCAAAACGTTTGCTTCATGAACTAATGTGAGGCAGAAAACATCACTATAACAGGTATATGCCACCCCAGATGGGACTTAAACCCACAATCCCTGGCTTAGGAGGCCAGTGCCTTATCCATTAGGCCACTGGGGCTACATAATTTGAAATCATACACGATCTTTATGTGGCCAAAGGTCATCAACCCACCCTACCTACTGAGCCACTGCTGCCCGTTAATGCAACAACTGCATCCAGAAAACATCACTAAAACCATAATACCTGCCAATATCTGATGTGGGTGTCTTTTGACCATTTGGTCAGAAGCCGAGCACAGGCATTCTGAACCACCTGTAAACTGATCAGGAAGGTTTTGCTAAGACAAGTGAAAAGCGAGTTGCAGTAGTCTAAGCATGAGGAGATGAAGGTTGGGAAAACCATCTCAAGTTCAGAGCATGATAGAAATGGACTAAGTTTAGCAATGCTTCAATCCAATCCCATTTTATTTATAAAGCGCATTCACAAGGCATTACAACCAAACAAGGCGCTGTACACTAAAAATGTTGGTTAATTAAACCGGCGTTTAATGCTCCTGAGATGAAAGAAAGAAGAGCCAACAAGAAACCTGACATGAGAATCCTGGGTGAGAGCTGGGTCAAACGTCACAATTGGATTCTTAACAAAGGGTTTGGTGCGAGAAGCAATTTGAGAGGCTGTGACTTCGGGAACCAGCTTGTCTGCGGCACAAATGAGGATCTTCATCTTATCGTCATTCTGCTGTAGAAAGTTCCCAGCCATCCAGGTTCTAATAGAGTCTGAGCAGGTGTGTAGTAACAGCTGCAGCTTAGACATCTCATGGGGCTTAAAGGAGATGTACCGTCGGATGTCATCTGCATAAAGACGGTAGAATATTCCTTTAAAAAAAACCTCAGGATGTGTTTAAGAGACAACAGATAGAGCCTGAAAATCACAGGCCTCAGAACACAACCCTGTGAGACATCTTTTGGTGAGAGAGGTTCTGGAGGACCAAAACTTGGCGATGGCTACAGAGAAGGAACGCTCAGACAGATAAGAGAACCACTCTCGAACAGTTTCTGACAGGCCTTCCCAGTCTCTCAGCTTATCCAGTAGCAGATGATAGTCAACAGTGTCAAAAACTGCAGTTAGGTCCATCAGAACCAGACTAAACAGTCCCCTGCATGTCTGTAAGTCAGAAGGTCATTAGAGAACTAAGAAGAGCTGTTTCAGTAGAATGGGATATAAAATAAAACCTTACTGGAAACTACTGTAGATGTTGCGTTCATCAAGAGCAGCTGTGAGGTGTTTAGCCACAGCCTTTTCCGAGATCTTGGAGATGAACGGAAGCTTAGAGATTGCTCTGAAGTTGCTTTTGAGAGCTGGAGCAGGACTCGTTTTTATAAGAAGCGGTTGGATTACAGCTTTCTTGAAATAAGCAGGGACCTGACCAGAAACCAGAGAGACCACACTGGGACAGATAGACAGAAAAATGTTTTTAAACAAAGAAGAGGGTAAGATGTCGAGGGGGCGTGCAGAAGTCTTCATAATGTAAACTAGTTTGGATGGCTCAGGTGAAGAAACAGGGACAAAGATGCTTAGGATGAGGGGAAGGGTAGGAGTCGGAAGAGGCTGAGATAGCGCTGAAGGACAGATGGAAGATCTCACCTTAATGACTTTGTCCACAAAGAAAGACTGGATATTTTCACCATCTCCATCAGAGTGGATGTAGGCAGTAGGTGAAGCAGGAGAAAATACTGCTGATGGCGTCAAAACACACTTAGTGAACTACTTGCTCTGGGGCACAACGATTGAACAATTGATAACCATCTTGCGTGTCCCTGTAGTGTTGAAGGAAGTCAGAAGACTCTAGAGATTTTATAGATGTGTTTGAGAGTGGTTTTGTTGAGCATTATACCACCCCAGGTGGGACTCGAACCTACAATCCCTGGCTTAGAAGACCATTGCCTTATCCATTAGGCCACTGGGGGTACAAACCTGTGTCAATAAAGGATTTCGATATGGCCAAAAGTAATCATATCTATCAATGAGGTGACGTGATAAAAAGTACGCAAAACGTTTGCTTCATGAAACAACGTGAGGCAGAAAACATCACTATAACAGGTATATGCCACCCCAGATGGGACTTGAACCCACAATCCCTGGCTTAGGAGGACAGTGCCTTATCCATTAGGCCACTGGGGCTCGTAATTTTAAATCATACACGATCTTTATGTGGCCAAAGGTCATCAACCTACCCTACCTACTGAGCCACTGCTGCCCGTTAATGCAACAACTGCATCCAGACAACATCACTAAAACCATAATACCTGCCAATATCTGATGTGGGTGTCTTTTGACCATTTGGTCAGAAGCCGAGCACAGGCATTCTGAACCACCTGTAAACTGATCAGGAAGGTTTTGCTAAGACAAGTGAAAAGCGAGTTGCAGTAGCCTAAGCATGAGGAGATGAAGGTTGGGAAAACCATCTCAAGTTCAGAGCATGATAGAAATGGACTAAGTTTAGCAATGCTTCAATCCAATCCCATTTTATTTATAAAGCGCATTCACAAGGCATTACAACCAAACAAGGCGCTGTACACTAAAAATGTTGGTTAATTAAACCGGCGTTTAATGCTCCTGAGATGAAAGAAAGAAGAGCCAACAAGAAACCTGACATGAGAATCCTGGGTGAGAGCTGGGTCAAACGTCACAATGGGATTCTTAACAAAGGGTTTGGTGCGAGAAGCAATTTGATCTAGAGAGGCTGTGACTTCGGGAACCAGCTTGTCTGCGGCACAGATGAGGATCTTCGTCTTATCGTCATTCTGCTGTAGAAAGTTCCCAGCCATCCAGGTTCTAATAGAGTCTGAGCAGGTGTGTAGTAACAGCTGCAGCTTAGACATCTCATGGGGCTTAAAGGAGATGTACCGTCGGATGTCATCTGCATAAAGACGGTAGAATATTCCTTTAAAAAAAACCTCAGGATGTGTTTAAGAGACAACAGATAGAGCCTGAAAATCACAGGCCTCAGAACACAACCCTGTGAGACATCTTTTGGTGAGAGAGGTTCTGGAGGACCAAAACTTGGCGATGGCTACAGAGAAGGAACGCTCAGACAGATAAGAGAACCACTCTCGAACAGTTTCTGACAGGCCTTCCCAGTCTCTCAGCTTATCCAGTAGCAGATGATAGTCAACAGTGTCAAAATCTGCAGTTAGGTCCAGCAGAACCAGACTAAACAGTCCCCTGCATGTCTGTAAGTCAGAAGGTCATTAGAGAACTAAGAAGAGCTGTTTCAGTAGAATGGGCTATAAAATAAAACCTTACTGGAAACTACTGTAGATGTTGCGTTCATCAAGAGCAGCTGTGAGGTGTTTAGCCACAGCCTTTTCCGAGATCTTGGAGATGAACGGAAGCTTAGAGATTGCTCTGAAGTTGCTTTTGAGAGCTGGAGCAGGACTCGTTTTTATAAGAAGCGGTTGGATTACAGCTTTCTTGAAATAAGCAGGGACCTGACCAGAAACCAGAGAGACCACACTGGGACAGATAGACAGAAAAGTGTTTTTAAACAAAGAAGAGGGTAAGATGTCGAGGGGGCGTGCAGAAGTCTTCATAATGTAAACTAGTTTGGATGGCTCAGGTGAAGAAACAGGGACAAAGATGCTTAGGATGAGGGGAAGGGTAGGAGTCGGAAGAGGCTGAGATAGCGCTGAAGGACAGATGGAAGATCTCACCTTAATGACTTTGTCCACAAAGAAAGACTGGATGT